TGATGGTCACTATTATTTTGCAGAAATATCAAAGCCAGGTCTAGTAGCTAAACTGTTCTTTGAGTGCTGGGCAGTAAAACTTATGATCATTTTAAAAAAATCTACATCAAGCATATTCATTTGCTGGCTGATAACACTAAGTTTTGTTTTGATATCTGAAGTCACTATGAGCTAAAGCTGAGCGCAGTTAGTGCTAAAGCTCAGTGATGATCTTTGCTTTTGGCTACTGTTTGGAAAGTTTCATAAGTCCTTGTTTTCAGTAAGAAAATTTAGGACAGTCATCATCTGGGTAAGTTTGATTCTAATAACGCCCTTCAGTTTGGAGGAGTATCCTCTATCCTGGTTGTCTTTCATATTACATGTTTTATTATAGAAATAATCTATTCTGTGAGGTAAACAGACCCAAGTATGTGGGAAACTGCAACTGATGTAAAGATATTGGTCATATGTTCCCAAATACTAGCTAGTTGTGAAATGTGGACTTATATATAAAGGCAATAATATAGACATGTACGAGCCTGTTGCTACTAATAGCCGTGACAATTCTTCATTCATTTTGCAAAACATAATGTATTTATAAGAAAGGCATCACTGCTGGGCATACTGTGTAGCTACAAAAATTAAATGTGAAGAAAAAAATTTTCTCTCTCATTAGATTACTGACAACAGATGCTCAATGGTATGTATAAATACAATGCCATATGTCAGATAAGGGAGTATAGTAGTTTTTCAATGTTGGTAATAATATATTTTGGTTTACTTAATATTTATATAATGACACCATATGGAGGTTCCTACAGATACCACAGTATGAATAAAATTCCTTTTTAAAACCAGATTCATCTTCATGTTCTGAAAATACAGCTGAACTCTGAATTCAGCCAGTGTAGGGGAGAGACAAAACACTGTTTATTTAATTTTGTTCTTGTGTTTTCATTTGTTGGATAAAACTACTTTCCAATATGATAAATGGAAGCCCCCCCCACACACACTTTTTTTTTTTTAATTTTCACTCATTTATAACAGAAGATTGAGCTTCCTTGGATTGACCTCTTGATGTTTCAGTCTTATTTTGTAATAAATGCTGAAATGACAGTTGCAGGTTTTTGATAAATCTTCCCCTCTGCTTTCACATCTTTTTTCTTACTCATTTTATGTACAACTCAGTTTCCACTTCACAAAGTAACACACTATAGAACCATTCCTTTAGAGAGGCGATGATGGCGTGTTTATGAAACAGTACTATTATTTCTCAAATGAAGTCCAGAAAATATTTACAAATTTAATAATTTTTAACAATGTATTTTGCCAAGTCTCCAAACTTCACTTTATTAAACCTATTCTGTAACTCTGACAGGACAGTAACAAGCTTCTGAGTTCATTTTTAGTAGAAAATGATTCACAAACAGGATAGTGACAGGCTTTTATGATTACGGATTTCACTTATTCTGTTCCTTCAAAGAGGCTTATATAGATTGATAGACCTACAAAGATAGAAATGAAAAAATGAAAGGAAGAGATATAAATAGACTTTTTCATTACGATGAATGATGGAAGGTATTAACTCCACTACAGCAGTGTGACTTTTACATGTCTTTTTTCAATCCTTTTGACCTGCTATCATCTTTCTTCTAAGTAAAAGTTAACCACAGTCTGAAATGTAGGTAAGGTGAGCAATAGCTGGAAATAAATGTTTCCGCAAGCATTATTACTGTTCTGAAAGTGTCCATCAGCCAAAATGTCAGCCTCAAAATCTATTTAAGGACTGCACAGAGGCTAAACAGGCAGCTATTATTAATTTTTAAGTCTGCCTGACAGGTTTCAGATCAAGAACTGGGGTTAACTTGATGCACTGAGTATTGCAGAATGTAATTAGGAAAGCTTTGACTCTCAGAGGCTGGGGATTTATTCCGTGTAAATTACTGCAAAAATATGAAAGAATGACTGCATTTACCTAAGAAAAGAACCTGCTGCATCATATTAAAATTAATAAAATCGCTATTTCGTTGCAGCTTCTTGGACTGTTATCCCAATGTAATCGCTTTATACTTTTAACTTGACTATTTTCAGGCACCGCTGCACTTCTCTTTTACATAATTTTTTTTCTTCATCATGCTGCAAGTTTCCCAAATAAGTCCTGCTATTCTCAGCTAATTACCAAACCAAATCATTTTCCCACTGTGGCTTACATAGATGTTTCTCCATTTAAAACATATCTGTGGAATTGATACAAATGAGTTAACATTTGTCTTTAATATATTTATATATAAAAATGGAGGACTCTAGAACACAAATGGGCATTAAGAAACAAATTAGTCCCAGCTGAGATACTAAAAGGCTATTTAGCTGCTTTTGATTGGATTCAGCATCTCAGAAAAAATTAAAAAAAAACCACCATCACCACCAATAAAAAAATTATTTTACTCCACTTGTAAAACCTCCAAGATGTACCAGTTCTATATCTCTGCTCCACTTCCAATACACTACTCTTATCCTCCCCCCCACCCCCCACTCCGAGGATCCTCCACCACATAAAACAAATGTATTTGCACAAGAATCTGGGAGATTATAAAGGTATAAGTGAAAATAGTAAATTGGCACGATGCTAATGAAGGATGTAGAGCTAAAATTATACCACATGTTCCAAGATTAGTAAGATGATTTTTAGTTGTACCTAACAAAACACCAAGTTGCAATTGGTAGTTCTGGAATACAAGCAGAAATTAAATGCAGATACCTGGTTTCTTTATGGAGAATGGGCAAATGAGCACTGTGTAGATTTTAAGTTCTGGATCATCGTGGCACTTGATGTGTTTTATTTTTTAATTAATGATGTCAACTGTTATTCTCAGTGATTCAAATTTCTCTTGGTAACAAATAGCATGAAACTCTCAAAAGACAATGGCTGGCTGTCAGAGTGGACTGGGTCATGGATGTCAAAGACAGACAGACGTCCTGACACTTCTAGCATATTTTCAAGAAAATAAGGCCATTAACTTGACAACAACCCTCTTGCAAGGCCCTGAATGTAAACTGCTTATACTCTTTAGCAAGTGACTATGTTTTCCAACAATACGCTATATTCTTTGATGTGAGTTTTGTATTACTTCAATTCATGCCGAAAACACTGATGTGTGAAGCACAGGATGAAGGACCAGACAAAAAAAGCAAAACAAAACAATTTAAAATACTTATGAAAAAGGTAAAGAGTCTGTCTTCTCAGGTACAGATATATCTTTGTTATTATGTGTGTGTGACTGTACACACAGTTATTTTTTAGAGTTACTGTAGTTTCTCTTGCTTATCAATCTGCCAGCCTTCCTGATCATTTAATGAAATCTCACACTTTCAGGAATTTTGTTTGCAATTGTCTCACAAAGAAAGTCTCCAGACATCAATACGAAGCCCTGCATAATGACATGACTCATCACAGCTGTATGATAAGGACAATTATCTCTTGATTTCTTCATAGTCTTTGATCCACATCTCAAGTTATATATATGACTTGCTGCCACACTATCCTTCATATTTATCCTGAACTACCAATTCCCAATTAATGAGCAATTTCTGTCTTTCAAAGGAAACTTGTCTAGATTCTTCCTCCTCCTTAAGTTTACATTTTATGTTAGTTCTCCAAGTTTCTCATTTACTGTTTCTCATTTACTGTACCAGTCTTTACTTTAGCCTTTTTCATAGTGTACTATGTATACTATGAAAGTGTTCTTCCCACTCAGTATTATCTGAGAATTTCCTTGATGTATTTTCTTCCCATTAAAAACCTAAATGGAAGCATTAGCAGACTTGACACTAGTATCGGTTGCATTACAATGGAGAACTGAACAGAGTACTGTTTTAATGATGAAAAAAACACTTGTTTCTTCACATTGTTTTCAATCAAAAAGTCTGTCTTTTCATCATAGTTATGAATTACTCAAATTATATTTCAATAAGATTTTGAAGATATTAGCAATACTGTCTTGATATCTGAACTTTTTTTTCTACTATATTTATATCACTCACAGGTGCCATTCCGTGCAGAAACAAACTATGGTAAGATTTTTTAATGAATTTATTTATGAATAAAATTGTATGAATAAATATTTGCTTGTCCATTATTTATTCTACAGCCATAATTTGATGCTTTTCTTGGTATTGTTCAATGTTTTGCTAGAGACAGATATACTGCTTAACTCCTTATATGTGAGAAGTGTCTGAGATGGACACAACTTCCCTATTTTAAACAGACTTGTTCTTCAGTTTGCTTCTCTTTGCTCATCCAATATAATTCCAGTCTCACTACCTGTTTTAACAACGCCTATGATAGTCATGTGGGTAACAGTGTGAGGCAGTTCTTACCATCAGTTTTCTCATAGCTTACTACCACAGCATTCAACATATTAATATTTTTTCAATGACCATTCAATGTCTTTACATAAATGCTTTTTGAATGATGTTCAAATGATTTTTAAACTTTCTGAACAAAATGGGTATGCATATCAGTGTTTTCTTCATAGATGTAGGTTAAGAACATGAGGTCAGCATTTCAGATGCATGAAAAGCGTTAAATATGTTCATTTAATTGTTAATGAGAGTGATACAGTACATTGCAGTGATACTTGATATGTCATCTGCATTAACTTTACTGCCAATAAAACTGTTCTTAGGAAAAACAGACTAAATGTCCTCAGGAGCTTTGATTCAAGTTTAAATGTATGTAAAAAAACAAAGTGTATGTGCAACACGAATGACAAGCTTTTCAGCACTATACCTGGCTCATGTGAAGGGTATATTACGTAGGGTTCACAGATCCCTACAAACAAGTTCAGAAAGTACAGTCCATACACTTGTAGAACCTAAGTAAATATGTGTTTGAGTAATATTAGTTGTGTACATGAATGTCAGACTGCCACTTCTCAAGCTTTGCTCCTCTTGGTAGTTAATGCAAGACATCTCTGGAGCCACAGTACTCCAGAGATGAATAGGTGAGTATCAGTACTTACAGCTGTCCTCTTCCTCCATGAAAATACTGATCACGTAACAGGCATACACAAATCCAATCAGCTGCATGAAAGAAGAGGAAAAGTAATCATAAGAATACATTGAACACTTAATAAGCTCTTTATTACAATACCATGTAAGTACATCTATCACAGCTATATTTAGAAAGAAATTCCTCCTATTTCCTGAATTAATATGTAAATCTCAGTGCAAATGGTCACACACAGATAAATTAAAGATACTTTCTCTCTTTCCTCATGATACATTATATTTTAAAATAATTTGTTTTCCTGCCTCACTGAGATCAGCACTGATGAATGCCACTCCAAAACACTAGGTCTGAACATTGTATTAGAAAACAAAGCCCTTAGATTTTGATTTTAAGTGTTACTGTTTTTTTCTCTGGATATACTCAAGACCAGTCTGGATGCCTACCTGTGCAACCATCTGCAGGGAGTCTGCTTTGGCAGGGGGATTGGACTCAATGATCTCCAGAGTCTTCCAACCTCTGTGATTCTTAATACTGTTATTCATACATTTGATAAATACATTTGTATGTAGATGGTCCCCTATTTTACATATTTGTTTACAAATTTACCTAATTTACATATAAAAAGGAAAAAAAAATATTTACTGACTGCTGTGGAATTAAGTTATAGTAAAGTTATTACAGAATCCATGAGAGATGTCACTTTGTCTTGCAGAAAGTGACCCAGTGAACTGCTTGGCAATAGTTTAATTTGATATGTGAAATGTCCGGATTTTGTTAAACATTAAAATTGGGATATGATTCATCAGCATCAGGAAACACTTTATCAGAAGGGCCTGTCTTTACATCACATTCACTAGACAAGAAAAGAGCAGGTTTTCCCAAAGGACAACACAGCCAAATCATGCCATTGTTTTAACAGCAGCTTCTAGAAGAACATTCTCCTTAGCCCAGGTCTGTGTCACTTGTGTCACTCAGAGGAAGGGACTAAAATTTTTGGGACCAGAGAACAGAAACTGTGCTGGTTTGCTTTTCATATAGACAAAATATCCTCTTATGACCATCACCAAAAAGAAGATAATTTCACTGGGAAAGGAAACCTATTAAACTGCACTGCCCAGACATGCCCATGCTTGAGAAAATCCTGTTTGTGCAGCTGTACACAATTTGTGCTATCTGAAAGCCTCAAAGAGGCTGTTCATGAGAGATTTCTAAAATAACCCAGAGATTAGTTTTCAAAAAACCCTTTTTTCATTTGTTCAATACAAAAAAAAACCCTAATTAAAATAGTTCTTTTAAGGTTGTCATGGATCAAGTGCTTGAGAAAGAGGTAATTTAATGGTATCCAGACAGGTATAAGCTCCTTCACAGGCACAAAAATCACTCCAATCTGCTTTCTCATTGGGCTACACCAAGAGCTTTACAAGCAGCTCCAAGAGTGTCTGCAGACAAAAAGCTTGTCCACACAAGGGAATTCAGGGAAGTTAAGATGAATTAACTAAAGCTGTGAAATCAATGCACAGAAGATAAAGTACATTAAATCCCCGTGTGGCCTTCCCCATTCAGAAATGAAGTGGCCTCAGCTCACTGCAGCTTAATCCTCCTCCAAGGGATTGATCCTCCCCGTGGAGAATTAAGCTGCAGTGCACCCAGGCTAAGTTCCCTGCGAATGAAAGCTGCCACAGTGCTGTGGCCTAGTCCTGCCAGAGCCTCCTGACTTGGCCATTCACCTCGCTGGGGTTTTGGGAAAGGAACTAGTGAGTTTAATCCAGCTTGCTTCTGGTTTTGAGCAGGCTCCAGCATCCTTGGATTTCTGAAGGGGGGCAGGGTCAATTTTACTAGGGAAAAGCTACCACCTTTATCAGGTGGACACTGGGTGGATGAGTCTTTAATGTACGCAAACTGAAGCAACGTTACATAAAGGATTCCAAGGGATTGAAAAAACAATCATACTTGAGGTATATTGCTTATGCTAACTGAACATTACACATAATTAAACTGCTATTGCATTAAGTACAATACAAATACAAGAAAATAGGTGGCCTTTCATTAGGGAATATCATCCATTTATTTACACTACTTCCATTTGTCACTGACAGTGTGTGATTTGACCATGTGAGTCACTTGGGTTTGTTTCTTCTCCCTAAGTATGGGACTGAAGATCAGAAGCAGGCATGACAGTTCAGCCCACAATCTTTGTAGGTTAAATATTTTTGAAGGCAGCTCAACTACTTCCTTAACATTTGCCATTGCTGTACTTCATGATTTTTTTTCCTACTCAAAGTCAGGGATAATGCCAGCCCTACCTCTCATCTCCTGGCATCATCTTTTTCTATTCTCATATACAATAATCCACTTGACCAAAATCATAGAATCATAGAATTGCTGAGGTTGGAAAAGACCTTAAAGTCCAACCACAACCTCACCATACTACCCTAACAGCCCTCCACTAAATCATCAAAAGAGGAAAGCAAAAAGCAAGCAAGCAAAAGGAGGGAAAAATACTCTAAGAGGTCTGCTCTCCAAAAGTTGAGGGGCTTGGTAAACCTGATTGTCTTAACAGCTATAACAGCTTACATCTTCCTCTTTCATTACATCTTCTCCTTAATGTAAACCTTTTCCCACTGATGTTATTGCTTGGAACACTGTTGTAATGTCTTTGCCATATCTGCTATAAAATCAGCAGCCTTTCACTGCTTATCAGTGTTTCTTTGTATTTCTTTTAATTATTAGATAAATTTTCCTTAATTAGACAGAAATCAAAGCTACTGCATACTTGTTTAAAACATAAAAGTAAAAAATGTATTTACCCCCTAAGTTAATTTTGGAGAAAACGAAAAATCAGGTCTTTAATCACACTGTACTATCATTGTAATGTCATACTGCAACCCACCATATATCAAGAGCTTGCCGTAATTAAATAGGAGAACGCACTCATTTCTGAAAGAACATGGCAACAAAGAGGAAAAGTAGCCCTTTGACAACAGTTGTCCAGTATATGTGCTCCGTGGCGGACAGCAATACTTGGCTTGTAAGCAATATACTTGTAATTATAATTGGTAACTGATATCTACACTATGATTAACAAGAAGTGATGAAGTGGGAACAAATTAGACCTGTACTGAGATACTTAAACAGAGCTATGGTTACTACAGTGTAGAATATTTTTATAAATATATTAATTAAAATCTCCACTTTTGCTTTATTGATGGACACATGAATAAAATATTTATTCCAACAAATTACTTTTACTATCTTGATTAACCCAGCTGCTGTTTAATTAATAATGTTATGCTCATGTGAACCCATCCAGCCATCATGTTAATTGCCAATTTGCAGTGAGCTGACTGATGCGTATTGCCTGGGTTGTTGGTATTGGAAATGAAGGCTATTGGCCTGGCACCAAGTGATAGGCATAAATGTGTGTCCCCTGATAACTAGAGAAGCCATGATGCAATGACCTGGAAGATATTTAATTTGCTCATTTTGGATTTCAGTCATCTTTCAAAGGGGATGATGAAGTAGTTACAGCAAGATGTCCAAGATATCAAATGTTGTTAGTAATTAGAGGTATAAATGGGAACCTAGAGCTTGACACAGAGAGCAATTTAGATGCCAAGTAGTCTTGACAATATTTTTTAAAGACCTTTTGGGATCCTTGCACTGACTGTTTTGCTCGCAGAGCCTGATCTACTGAACTGTTTCAGAAGTTATTAGTCCGTGTCACTTGGCAGAAAATGAAGTGGAAGAGGCTATTATCCTCTGCTTTCATTCATCTGCATGGTTCTTAGAGCAAAAATCCTGCTCTGGTGAGAATAAATAATACATAAAATACTCAGATATTTATCACAGCAGATACTGAGACCCCCAACAGCATCTAGTCCATCTTTCAGAAAAATCAAATAACTCTCAGAAGTCAGACACTGGCCATGGTTGAGATCACAGAATGGCTTGAGTTGGAAGGGAATTTACAGATCATCTAGTTCCAACCCCTCTGCTTTGGGCTAGGCTGCCACCCACTGCATCAGGCTGCCCAGGGCCCCATTCAGCCTGATCTTGAATACCTCCAGGGATGGGCATCGATAACTGCTTTAGGCAGCCTGTGCCAGTGCCTCAGCACCCTTTGAGAGAAAAATGTCCTCTAAATATCTACCTTTAATCTCTCTTCTTTTAGTTAAAAACCACTCCCGTTTGTCCAATCGCTATTAGACCATGTAAAAAGTCAGTCTCCTTGTTTATAAGCTCCCTTTAGGTACAAGAAGGCCACACTGAAGTGGCCTTCTCTTCTCCAGTCTGAACAAGCCCAGATCCCTCAGCCTTTCTTCAAAGGAGAGGTGCTCCAGCCCTCTAATCAACTCTGTGGCCCTTATCTGGATTTACTCCAACAGCTCTACATCTTTCTGATGTTGGAGGGGCTCCAGGCCTGGATGCAGTAATCCAGGGGGATCTTCTTCACAATGACAGAGTAGAGAGAGACAGTCACCCTGCTGGCCACTCCTCTTTTCATGCAGCTCAGGATACGGTTGGCCTTCCAGGCTGCAAGTGTACATTATTAGCTCATGTAAAGTTTTGGTACAAAACCTCATATTTCTTTGATGACTAGCTGGTAAACTTCACTCACATTCCCCAAATCATAATGATGAGCAAACTCAGGGTGTGGGAAACAACTGTCACCTTGTTTAAGGGACAAGGACTTTGATTTGTTGTACACGATAGGCTTTCCTATGAGTGGAACACAGGTACATTTATATAATGTTATTATCAGGACTTTTAATACGTGATATATATTCTCCTAAGAGCCTCAGATAAAAATGAAATACTAGTCTCTGTCATTTTTTTTCCCTCTAGAGGACATAAATATTTCAGTCTAACTAAAATCTCTAAGCTCATGACATGGACATCTGCATGAAATACAAAAGCCTAAATTAATAGAAGTGAAATTAGATTATATAATTGTCCATCATTAAGCTGTAAGAAACTATGAAAACATGCAAGACATTTTAGAAAAACTAATCATTTGAACAAATACATGCTGTGTTATAATTGCTTTATAAATGAATATTACTATAACATA